ACCTGCTTTGCCCATCATGACATAAGAGCTGGTTTTGGATTCACAGCTGTGTGATTGAGCACCCGGGGCGGATCGATCAGTGAGAGAGGTTAAAACAAACTCACTGCCTGGCAATAATTACTGTGAATAAAAAGCATGAGCAGTGAGAGGCAGGTCTGTACTGACTGCATGCAACTGTGAGGACCATACTTGTATTTCATGATGACTCCTCAATCTCTTATTTGAAAATCCCAGTGCAAGTGGTAATCTCCAGTTTTCCTGTTTGACCCACACTGTCATTTTTAGCCATGCTAGGGGCGTCGCTCGATGTCGCTTTTGTCGACATTCATGGTCCTCGGAGGATTAGCAATGCATACTTTGTTGATCCCCTGACTTTTCCTCTAGCGCCACACTGAGGTTCACATTTGTGGTTTTGTGTGAAATGAAACAACTGTTGGATGGATTGCAATTAAAGTTTGTCACAGACGTTCATGTTCCCCTCAGGATGAACTGTAATAACGTTGGTGATCCCTTCACTTTTCATCTCTAACACAGCGTGTGCTGTGAATCATTTCTTCACTACATTTCATTTATTTATAAGAAATGTGTCTGTCATCATCAGTTTACTGAACAATCAAAGCATAGTCGTTGACACGAGAGCTCATCAGCCACTTCTGAATGATCGGTTATCGTAGTGGACGTTTTACTGTGGTTCGATTCTGGAGAATATTGAGATGCAGCAGCTGTGAAAAGCCCTCTGGTCGTCAGTCATTAACGTTCAGAGTCACACACATACGCATTATGCATTTTGTTCTTCAATACCAACACCTTAACATTGAGCTTGAAACCCGTCCGGCATTTCAGTGTCTGAAAGCCAATCAAGGAATCAATGGCCCAAATGGGTTGAAATGAAAATCAACATCAGTCCAATATGTATTGACATCAACCTCGAAGGCTGAGAACTGCACTATCCGCTGCATGGATTGAAATCAATATGTCACCAACGTGTTAACCGGATCACGCAAGTCTTATTTAAAGCAGCAGTTTGATGGAGAGGGCAATGATAATCTGACAGCGTTACACAGGTGGGTAACAAGAGAGCTTCGGGGTCTCATCCTCCATTTACTGTACGAGACAAATCAAACTTTCTAGTCACTAGAATCTGTCAAATTTACCAAAATGTTTAGATTTGTATTTGCGTCACAGAATAAAGCTTTTCTTTTTTGAATCAAGTCAGTGAGAAATGAAGTGAGGCTGTTTCTGAGCTTTGAGGTCTCCAGTGTGCCATGACAGTAATTAACGTCAACTTAATTAGGATTATTAATTAAGGAAAAAGAAATGCTCTAAGTGTTAATTAATTGTAATATTTATTGCATAATAGATAATTAAACATACAAGTGAGTTAATAATTCAAACAGTTTTTTTTGTTGAAAACATTGCTGGATTGATGTTTAAAGCATTTTGCACTCTTATTTTGGAAAGACATGTAGAGTTGACTTTTCTTTTACCAATATAATAAAGAGGGTTCCATAGCTCATTTGTTTTACTATTTACACTTTTAACCGTGACATTATTGTCATCACGGCAGCAAATTATGAAATGACTTATTTGCTGGATGACATGCACCCACACTAATCACACCAGACCATAACCTGCAGAGATGAAACAGGAGGTCTCGTGGACCATCTGGGGAGTGTTTCAGACACGGGCCTTACAGTCACGTCCTGATTTGTACCTGCTGCCACTGTTTCTCAGAGCGTGTGCCAGGACAGGACCAAAAAAATGAATCGCAAGGATTAAAACTGGTCTCTGGCAGTCCCTGCTGAATTAATTAATGTGGGTTTAAACTACATGTGTTCCCTGAAACCAGTTTACAAATTGCTGCAGTAGATCAACCTGCTTAGCAGAAGAAAGAAATGGCCTAAAAAAACAATACTGAAAGAGCGTAACAGTTGATAGCTGCTATTCAAACAGCCACAGGATAAATCATTATTATTCTGTGCTGTCAGTTCATTTAGAAACTGAGATACTATGTACGGATGGAGAGCATTTACCGTTCTGCAAGTCATAACAATACAGCAGTATATAAAGGTTTATAACACACTGTAGCCTAGTTGTATGCAGAAATAAAGATATTTTTAAATTGGCTATTAATAATGTCAACAACTATAATCTATCTATCAAGCATCCACAATGTACTAAAAACAAATGAATGACTAATAAAACATATTCATAATCATCTGAAATGATGTGTCTTAAGAAGTTTCACTAATGTATCAATAACCAATTTTAAGGTGCATAGTGAAATCTAATTATTAACAGTAACTTGGTTTACAGAAAGAGCAGACAATGATACAAGATAGTTCAATTTACAGAACATTTAAGGAAGGTCATCAAGTATGAATCCCATGTGACTCAAGGGAACCGTACCTTCTTCTGGAGCAAATCTCAAGTGATGATTAGCAGGTGTCAAGAACAGGATGCTTTGAAAAAAGGACTTTTTCATGTTGAGGTAGAACGCTTGGAACCAAGTTGCACCGATGATACTTTGATAATGGTTCATAACCCAGGTGCTCAAAATGTATCTCCAGTTGTATTTACTTTTATAGTAATATATATTTAGTAATACATATTGGCATCCCATGCTAGTTAAACAGAAATGCAATTCATTTCAAATGTCTGCTGATAAAACAAGGGACTAGGTGGCAGGATTACCGGAAAAACACAAGAAACAGAATTACCTTGGCGAGAACCATCTTGGGTTTGACACAGCTTTGTACTGTATATGGAACAGTCTTGGCTTTAATATGTTTGCACTCAACCTGTATTTTATTGATTCAGTCCCTTGGAATTGATGCTATCATGCAATATTATGGGATTATTTTTAAAAGAATAAACATTCGTTGTCTATTTCACCTAAAGAACAGTCAAATAAGATCATAAGAATCTATCAATTTATTGTATTTTACCCTGTATTTAGCATTTACAGTCAGTATATAAACAATTAGTAAATGCTTTTAACAAACTATAATGTAGCTGTAAACAGAAATAAAGTATTTCATTTCAAGTGTTTATTAATGCATTTCTCAACAACTATATCTCCTCTAATGAACAAACCAGTGGATAAACATTTGATGAATGCCTAATAACACAATACAGCATATCTGTAATGATATATAATGACATGTCACGAGTTTGACAGAAAGAAAATCTAACTCAAGGTCCACTTAGTAGTTTTTACTGGAGCTTTCAACTGCATCTTAAGGTCCTCTTCATGATAGAGTTTGCTCTGTTGTCACAGTTAAAATGGTTGACAGTTCTGGAAAAAGAAAAAATGTAAGTCTCTTAAAAGAAGCTGGGGGTTCCCATATCTCCCAGCTGGTCCATAAGGGAGCAGCCGTGTTGTGAATGTGATCTTCGCAGATCAGTGATGGCGTCAAACCTGCCAGCACCATCCAGCAGATGGAGTCCTCAAACTGCAGCCGCAGTTTATAAGTCCATATATACTGCTGTTCACTCTGCCATCATGAAGTTCATCTGCAGTCACTGGCAAGGTAATCAAGATTGAAATTGGTCAGTTCAACACAATAAAAAGCAAACATGTTGAGATCAAGCGGAGTATGGACAGTGTGTGTGTGTGTGTGTGTGTGTGTGTGTGTGTGTGTGTGTGTGTGTGTGTGTGTGTGTGTGTGTGTGTGTGTGTGTGCAGCTCTTTGCTCTCTGATGTTTACATCATGCTGGAAAAGTTCATTTTTTTTAATTTGCACGAATAAATTACATGTTTTCATCTTTTAGTGAAATTCACAGGAGTTACAATCAATCTGTAACAAACAGTATTACTGGATAGCACTATTAGGAACTGCTAAACTGTGTTGAAATCAGCTACATCCACAAAAAAAGTGAAAAAGAAAGAAAAGAAATGAAAGAAAGAAAATAATAAGGTTTATCTATAATTCAGATGTGTTTACTGGATTCACCTCGTCGTGATTTTAATAAACTCTTCTTGTCACATTACTATAACTGTATTTATTATAAGATTATGTTAAATTCCTCAAAATGAAAATAAAGCAAAAAACGTTGCTTGATTTGTAAAAGTTTGTAAAATGTTCTCAATAAAACCCACCACTAAATAGAAAGCCACAACTGTACGACGGCAAGCACTAAGGTCAAACAAGCAAGAACGAGAAACTGCCTCCTCGCTCTCAGAGATAGTACAATTTAGAGAGAGGTCACCATCGAAAAAACACAAGCAAGGGACATGCTCCTAGCGCCATTAAGGAAACGCCAGCCTAGCAAAGATGGCGTCTTACAGTTTTCGAGACTTCAGTTGCTAGAGTATCCTCTGAATCTCCACGATGTAGATATCACAATAAGTGCGATGTACTTTTGTAAAAACAATCTCTATTTAACAGTTACACACATACAAATGATTTACATTCACTCAAATAGCGTTACGACCTAGACAGAGTTGTTGTGGCGTAATGCTCATGCAGCTCCCTCCTCTACAGGGTCTTTGGTCTGAGAGCGTCATAAGAGTCGCTGACGACAATACATCGCCTCTGCTTTTACCCTCAAAGACAATTAATTTTCTTTGTGTTATTAAAGCATTCAGGAAATCAGGTATTCTTCTCATCTGTAGGCTATCACATACACAGTGAATACCCGCACGATTTTCACAGTTTTGACAGTGATGTAAACCACTAAACCAAACTGCAGCAGTCCCCATAGCAACAGATGAGAGGGAGGGCATCACAAAAGGCAGAGACACATAATGAGTCAGGCCACTTGAGTTCACATCCCAAGCTTTATAGAATATTTTAGCACTAAAAACAAAACCACACACCGTAGAGACCACCATATTCCCTCTGAGAGATTGAAACTTGAGAGATATCAGTTGGCCCCAATTTCCTCTGCACAGATATGGTACGATCCGCCCTCATAATAAAACTCTTACTAATGGTTTCCCCCCCTCCCTCTGTCTGGCAGGTACCACTTACTGCCGAGGGGGTGATCCTATCCATCCACCACAAACCTAGTGCTCATTGTGGATGGATTGCAGTGCACTGGGCTGTATAGAGCAGGGTACCATCCAGGCTGTTGTCAGTGAGGGGTGGGGTCCGGCTACACTGATACCACCAAACGTAATCTTACAGAGGGTCACAGAGAGGCAGAAAAAGGGAGGAAAAAGAGAGAGAAGAGGGGGGAAGATTGCACCTGAAGAGGACTACAGTACGGGTAAGGAGAAAAGGGGGTGGATGGAGATGGAAGGAAAAAAAGACAATGGAGAAAGGTCCAGAATGGTTCAAATAGATTCGCTCCTTTGCTGCTCTGCTTTTTCCCCTCCTGTTGACAATCCATCCTACTTGATTCCTTTTTCATCTGTGTCATTTGCACATTTATTCATAATTTCATAAATGTCTATGTGCTTATTTCATTTCATTTCATTTGATGTGTGGTTAGTGGGAGAATCTGTTGGCCATGCTGAATAAATCTGACCATTTGGCCCAGCTAACATGTTTCTTTTGCATTTGATAGAATGTACTATATGCTTTTGTTGCACTATAAGATGAAACGGTGTATCAGATGTGCCAATTTTACGACACAACGTTGACCGATATTTATACTATTCTATTGCTGGGGACTGACTTGTTTCATGCTATCTTGCTTGCTCTGCAGCCAAGGCTGCCAAGATATATAAACAAGCAATGAATATCATACTATAGCTTTTATTATATGACGTAGTATTGTACGTTGTATTTATCTTAAAGATCTTAGTTATCACATGTACTTAATTTGATCAACCACCTACATTCATAATGAAAAGCTAACTTTGCAATCAATAACCCTCTGTGTGTGAATAGGACATATTATAGTCAAAGTGACGAATAGTATTTAGGATAGATGGATCAATCATTCCTGGAGAAGCAGGGCTAGAGGAGAACTACTTATTCCAACACTTCAACAAACAAATGCAAAGATTTACAGAAGGTATTTCCATCCATGAAGCTCAACTGTTGCTGTGTTTGTGGCCAGGATGAAAGGAGACACCCCAGTGAACAGCGGCATGAGTGTCGGCCAAGCCAGGAAGCTGGTGGAGCAGCTGAAGATAGAGGCTAGTTTTTGCAGGATAAAGGTAAGAAAAGCTTTAGATTCAGATGTGAAAAATAACAACGATGAAGCATCTTTTGCAGTGAGGAAGACGTGCTTCCTCCTCTTTACTCCAAGACGTTGCAAGACCCAGTACATATTGAGCAATTAACATGGACCTTTAAAACTTCTAGATGTACTGTAAATGTATAAAGCAACACTTGAGGCTTTCTTCGTAAACTTCTATTTTCTAAAAACTGCTAAAATTCTAAGTAAATGTAATTAGTTGTGTACTGATGCCCATATGTTCCACTCAAACTCTACTGTTATTGATTCTGTATTGTTTCATTGCCTATGTTTGTGCTCATGCTGGATTACGCCTGTGTTCTCTGCTGTACTGTGATACCTTTGTAACTGCAAACATCCGGTTTTCTTCAAACTAATCGATATTTCACTCCCTCATCCTGTTTAGTAGTATTTATAGTAGTATATCCATTTGCATTTTCTAGTCCACACATCAGAAAATTCTCAACTTCTTGCAGCTTTGGTAGAGAAACGTTTGATACAATTAATTTGAGGTTCTGACTCGTTTAATCTGCATTAGCCAAATCTGAGTCGTCAATGAAAGACACTACAACATTCAGACCAAAGCTTTAAAGCCAAGACTGTGAAATGATGTGGTGAGGGGTTGTAAATGGTGTCATTACTCTAAGATATTATTACTACACACTGTATATAATGACATGCGTGGACCTCAGACAGAAACAAAAGATGGGGATAAAATGAAAACTGGGAGATTACAAGACACCACTGATCTTCATGAGGGTTTTAAAACAGATCTTTCTTATGAACTCTGCCAAATCTGTATGACAAACATACTGTATTAACAAAAATAATAATGTATTCATGTTCATAACCCGCCCTGAATCTGAGCATCCTCATCTCCAGGTATCAAAGGCAGCCGCCGACCTGATGGCGTACTGCGACGCACACTCCTGCGACGACCCGCTCATCACCCCCGTGCCCACCTCAGAGAACCCTTACAGGGAGAAGAAATTCTTCTGCGCTCTTCTTTGAGACCAATCAGGGATTGTTGTGATTGACAGTACAACTGTACAGTATGTACATGTATGTACAGTGTGTACAAGTACTTCTGATCTGAATAAGACATCAATGTACTATAGTAACCTTGCATAAAAGCTGCCGATGTACAGTACACATAATCAACTACAAAATGTCTCAAACTAAATTCTTTAACTGCTGACGCCCGTCTCAATGTTAGAGGGGAAGAAGAAGAAAAAAAACACAAAAAAAGATATATGATATGTGAAACATAACTCGAAAGCAATCAGAAAAGAGTCAGAGTTTTCATTATGAAAAACAAGACTGGAAGTCTGAGGAAAATAAATTTAAGAAACAGCTATCATCTGTTAAATGTTCAACACATTTCATGCTCATTGGTATTACAGGTAACTGCCAGAAAGAAGACAGTGTGGGCATCGAGTGTCTTAATGGGAACAGACTCGTATGGATTCTGCAGCATTAGACTCGTTTAACTGGGAGGCTACATTCCCACACTCGGTCTTTGGATTGTGGTGGTGCTACATGTCTCAGATGCTGCTCTGATAGGTCAGGGTGGTCAGCTCTCCTCATAAACTATACATTTGAGATCTAGCAAGTGAGAAGAAAGAAAAAAAAAAGACAAGCCTATAGGTGGGGAAGTACTTGGTTACTTGTAGGAGGAGGTAATAACACTTCTTCAGATTAGACGTGCTTTACTTACAGGTGGAGGTCTTCAGAGCTACGTCCCATCTGTCGTCAACATGTTTTGTATTCCTCATCCACTTTCCTGTTTTGGCCATTTAGGACAACAGCTGTTTATGACCCGAGTATGATCATCGATTCAATGTAGTTCGAGGTTTTACTAAGATTTTAGCAGTTTGCTCATTTCTATGCTGTTGCTGTAGCGTGGGTGTGTATGTGTATGCATAGGTGCTACTGTGAAAGGTAGGCAATGATTCTGAGCATCTGATCACTGTCAAATCAAGATTTTATAGTTCAATTGCACCCCCCCCAAAAAAAAATCAACATTCCAGGGGTTATGGACATTTAATCCATGCCATTAAAGCAGTCAGATCTTTCATTGACATGAACAGTTTCATATTTCTTTGCGGCAAAACGTGCTTTTAAAGAATGGCGTGCGTCATCGGGTCTGAGGTTCTCCAGAGCAGAGGGGTCCTTCAGTCTCATGTCTCTGCTCGTTCATGTGAATGACTTTTTCATTTAAAAGGTGTCACTTTCTCTGTGGTTATTCCTCCATCTACAGTACAGGCAGTGCTTTAGTTCTGTCCAATCAGATCCACACAAAAATAATAAAATAAATCTCTCATTTGGAGTTCCCTGGGGCGTCTCGTGTCATGAGCTCCATGGCATCCTCTGCTCTGGACCGGTTAAAAACAATCAACCAATGTGTTGTCAATATCCTACAAATGTCTAAATTTGGAGTTTTGGTGAAAGAGAGATCATGGAACATCATGTAGTGAAATAAAACCTCCGGTTATCAAAGATTTGCCCTCATTTGTGATTTTATTTGATAAAAATTGAATAATTTAAATGGACATGTCGGAAGAAAAATAAATACATGTTTCCAAATCTGATGCTTGTCTTTTATATATCTTTAATGATGAGAGCAATATAAAAACCAAAGAGTTTACACAAGTCAAATAGAAACACATCACCGAGAGGTTAACAAAAAGCTGCTACACAACGGTTACATCCTCTAACAGCTGGTGCTGTGACACAGTCTGGACGTGCACTACTGCAGGTTATAGCTCACTGGACTGAATGGAACGCATATACTGGCGTGCGTTAAGGAATCTCATGTTTAGAAAGATCAGATATAAAGACCTGACCTAAATCAGGCTTGATGGTGTGACAAAATACATACTACTTGTGCTTCTTACGCCATTTGAAGCCACCGGACACTGAGATCAGTAGATTCCCTTTGTTTAGATGGGTTAGTCTCTCTCTTGTTGGGGTTTTGATTTGAAACAGAAATGAGGTCTTATGTTCTACTGAAGCTTTAAATACATTCTAACATACACTACAGCATATCAACGACGTAGCTTCTTAACTGTTAATGTTGTACGTTTACCTTCCGGCAGGTACCAAGTGCTTTAGCGGTATCCTCCGTCTTGGTCGACATATACCACAGCCGGCTCCTCAGCAATAGACTGACACGTTTTTGACAGTGTTTGAGTTTGTTGAATCTCCATCTTTATTTATATACTTTTCAATTAGGTTCAAACAAGCGCTGAGCAGACCATAGGAGGGGGTCTGGCCATGCTGCTTCTTCATATGCAGGATCAAATGTTAAAAGTTTGTGTAATAAAATAAAAAAAAGTACATCTTTGTTTAGACCAGTGTCACATAGGTTTAGCTTCCGTTTGTCACATATTCTGCAAGATACTTCAAACAGACAATCCACCTCTTCAAGAAATCCTTTAAACATTGTTGGTGATGCTGAACTGTGTTACGATGAACTATTTAAAACAAGACAGCTTACAACTTTCCAATGGCTTTAAAAACAGGCAATCGGGGCACGAAGGCGAGTAAGAACATTAGTCTGGATTCTTCTGGTAAATCACTACTTCACACAGAAAGACAAGTGTGAGAACAAAGTAGCCATGTTTGGCTTAAGACATTGAAATTCCCAGTACATGACCAACAATGGATGAACTATACATTTAAAATTCAACCTTTAACAGAAAGTACATGCAGTATTTCAATGGTCTCAGACAAATTGAATATTATGCACATGAGCAGCTTTTTCCCCAAAAAAACGCAAACAGGACAGTTTCAGCCTGAAGCGCCTCTGAACCCAGCGTTACATATAGTGTCCCTGTGTCACAGTCCTAATGGGCATGCTGGCTCAGTGGCACGACTTACTGGTCGACGTAAATGGACAGGAGCCACCATTATTGTTATTAGTTACACCCGTGCTTTTACTATAAAAACTTTAAAAGACTGCCATTAGAAGATCTACTGACGGTGAGTAGGTGACAGAGATAGAATTGTCCCGCTGTTGTGATTCTCCAGCCAACTTGAAGAAAGAGTGAGCCAGTATTAGTCTAGACCCACTAGTGATAGACCATGAGGAGGGCATGTGTGAAATCTGTTTAGGGGGGGGGGTCAAAGGATTTCAGAAATACACTGAAAATGTGAAGAAGAAGTTCAAAATAAATAAACTGAACCTCGTTCGTGTGAAGAGTGTCAGTTCATATATGCGGTGTAGCTGAATTGAATCAAGATCACTGAAGAGGCAATGTACAGTTTGGACTTCAGAAGTAGAAAACAATGGCCGCATGCTTTATAAGAAGGCATCACACCATTCTTTAAGGCAGCCATAGCAGTCACCTTGTTGTTTCACATTTGCTCTGCAAGTGTCCTTCAGCCAATCCCGGAAAAGCTCCTCGTCTTTCTTGAGCACAAGAAACTGGCCGAGGACGACGTACGCCTGCGAAAGGGAGAGATGAACACACAACAGAGAACCTAATCAAGACGGGAATGCATGCGTCACAGGGTTCCCCACATTGACGGCCCTGTTTGTCAAGAAGCCGATGCTGGATCGCAACTTGAAAAGTAATGACATTGTTATGTAGAGAAGGGATGGCTGGACACAACTTACAGTACAATGAGAATAGATCTTAAGCAGGTCTATTCACACACAAAGAAAAGTAAAAAATGTCTAAATGATACCCACACAGGTCTGTGGTAGCCTACTGGATAACAGGAAAAAATAAAACAACAAAAGAATTAGGATACTTTTATCCCACCTTATAGAATTCAGTGCAAGCTCCATCATTTGCTGTTTATTTTAAGATTAAGCCATTGTCCTGAGACCGCCGAAGAGCTTGTTAATCAAGTTCAGCTTGATTTGAGTTCAACCGTACTGCGAGTTTGATAACCTGTCTACGGTGTTAACACAACCATACACTGGTTCATACTCAAACACTGTAACAGCTGCTTTTAAACAACAATTCTATGTTACTTGAATTGACAACATTACACGACCTTGAATTCTCGTGTTACTTCGATAGAGAAGCGCTATTATAGCAGATCTGAAAATAATGACTTAACTAATATGACCGAATTTCATAATCTGCTGCATTTCTTGTTTACATTCATTATTTTTCTGAACTGATTTCAAGACCCAAATACAGTTACTGTGAGAATACCAATGTTGCCGCACCGATAAGCACCCTCTGGAGACAGTGCATTTGATTTGTGGTAAATAATTTTATATTACATAAAAAGGCAAAGAAATCAGATCTGCATTACCTTATCAAAACCCTTCTCCTCCAGTCTTCCGCCAAGGGCGTCTCCGATGCCTGCAAGGGCCCCCACAGGCTTCTCCCCCATGGGCTCGGCCACAAAGTCTTTATGTTTTTGGGATGTCGACGACATGGCTGCTTTGTAGGCGGTCAAAGATCACCAACTACTTAACTGAAACACAAGAGAGAGAATGTAAAAATCATGCTTCAGAGAGAATGCAACCCCATAAAGTACATTTTTTTTAAATAAATTTTCCCCCATCATCTTTTCCTACAGGGATACATTTATGACTCTCAGCTTTAAGTTTAAAGTAACTCTATATACATCAATTTAACAGTGTAGTAGCCATATATATATATATATATATATATATATATAT